GTATCCTCGGGAATATGTGACAGAAGGTTGTGTGACCATGAAATAAGGGACAGGTAGGTCACATTTGGAGCAGGACTGACACTATAAATGCCTGTGAGTGTGAGTGTCACATGGGAGCCCATCAGTGAGGAGCTTCTGGTGAGTAATGCTTGTCACAGGGTCAGTTGGGGGCCCTTAATCTTCCCTCATATAGTCTGAAATGCTTGGTTTGGTCACATGGGAAGGTTTGCATGTGGGTCTGAATGGCCCTTACCTCTATAGCATAGCAACACTTGATAAAACCCAAATTCTCTCTACCTTGGATAAAAAGCTGGCATTACTAAAATTGGAGTGTGCAGTATATTTTGTTGGCTTTTGGGCTCTCCCTTCCCTTCCCCTCCCTTTCCCTCTCCTCCCCTCTCCTCTTCTGTTCCTGTTCCCCTCCTTTCCCCCTTATACTCCTCCTTTTCCTCTCTCTCTCTCTTTCCTCCTGCATACACTACAAAATCTATACATATAGAATCTTACATATAGTATGCAAGCTTTACCACTAAGCTGTACCTCCAGCTCCTTTAGGTCAAATTCCTTCTTTTTTTGGTATCTGAATTTGAACTCAGGACCTCACACTTGCAAGGCAGGCACTGTGCAACTGAGCTATATTTCTGGTCTAGGCCAAACTTCATAATCTCCGTGGAGCCCAGCAATGGCCGTCTTCTAAATATTAAGCAAACACAAGAGAGAGCCACGTTATAGTCATGTGACCTAAAGAGTTGCGGCCATGATTATTTCCTTAGTAATATTTTATTGTTTTGAGTATTTTTATCTTGTCAGAATTAATTTCAAAAGTTTCATATTTGCTCTTTCCTTATATACAGAAATGCTGTTGATTTTTGTATAGATTTATCCTGTTTTTCTTTTTCTTTCGAGAATGGGGCCTTATCATATTGGCCAAGCTGGTCTTGAATTCTTGGGCCCAAGCAGTCCTCCTCTGGAACTACAGGAGCATGCCACCACATTTGGCTCAAGAAATTACTCTTTTTTTTTTGGTATTGGAAACCAAACCTTGTACTTGTCAGACAGGTGCAGTGCTACTGAGCTATATCCCTGGCCTTTAAGAAAGTACTCTTAAAAAAAAAACTACTTTCTTTTGCTCAGATAATCATTTTTGAGAGTCATTTATGTTTAGTATGTATCAGTAATTTATTCATTTTGTATTGCTAAGTATTATATACCATAATTTGTTTTTCTGTTAACATTGGGTTGTTCTCAGTTTGGGCTACAACAGAGAAACTATAAATATTCATAAATAAGCCTTTTACATTTTTGCTTAACACAAAATATGCATATATTTTCATATTTCTTGGCTAAGTGCCTATGTTAAGAATAGCTAAATTATATGGTAAATGTATGTTAAATAACTTAAAAAGTACCAAAATATTTCTTCAGAGTTGTAACATTTTGGATTCTCACAGTTCTATCTTTCTGTATCCTTCATAGCACTTGGTATAGTCAGGCTTGTAAATTATAGTCTTTATGATAGCTGCATGGGAATATTTCATTGTGATTTTAGTTTCCATTTGCCTAATTTTCATGTGCTTGTTGCAATCCAAATGTCTTCTTTGATCAAGTTTCTCTTAAAATCTTTTGCCTATTTAAAAATTTTTTTTATTATTTTTTACAGTATTGAGAGTTCTTTTTATGTGCTGAATCTGAAATCAGTTACATGTATTTGTAAAATGTTTTTTCCATTAGAAGTTTGCTTTTTAATTCTCTAAACTGTGTGTGTGTGTGTATCAACCGGGGGTTAAACTTAGGCTCTTTTGCATGGTAGGCAAGCAGTCCACCACTGAGTTACTGGCCAATAGTGCTATATGTTGGTGACCAAGCCTTCAGCGCAGGAGTTTGAGAGCAACATTCCAGAGCCAAATGATAGCAGGGGCCAAATAGAAATTTTGCACTCAGAGTTATGATTATTGAAATGAAAACTCACTAGAGGCACTTAAGAGCAGAAATAAGCAAACAAAGGAAAGGACTGATGAATCTTAAGGGGAAATCATTGGAAAAATTTAGCCTGAGGAATAGAAAGAAAAGAGGATTAAAAGAAAACTGAACGAAACTTGAGGAAATTTTGGACATATCTAACACACTAATATACAAATTATGGGAGAGGAGAGGACAGGAGAGGAGAGGAGAGGAGAGGAGAGAGAGAGAGAAGGAGGAGGAGGAGGAGGAAGAAGAGGAGGAAGAGAGGAGGGAGGAAGGAGAGAGAAAGGGAAAAGATGATTAGAAAACATATTTGAAGAAGAACAAAAAGAAAACATATTTGAGGAAACTATGGCCCCTAAACTTTTCAAATCTCCCAAATTGGAGGAAATACAGGAATGCACACATCAAAGAATTCCAAAGAACTCAGAGCAGGACAAGTTTAAAGAGAACTTATGTCAAAACACATTATTATCAAACTCTCAAAATACAAGAAGAGTAGATTTTGACAGCAAGAGAAAAACAATCTTCAGAAAGAGTAACAGCTGATTTTTCATCAGGACTAAAGGGATAAAGCAATGGTGCGGCACATTTAAAGTTCTATAGAAGAAAAATTTCCTGTGGACCAGGAACACTGTATCCAGCAAATTACTGTTCAATAATGGAACAAGTATAACTTTTTTAGTTTAAAAAAGAAGTGAGAGGGTTCATTACCAGCAGACCTGTCCTAGAAGCAAGTGGCTAAGAGGAGCTCTTCAAGCTGAAATAGAAGAAAACAAAAGAATAACCTGAAACCATAAGAAAAATAAACACTGGTAGGTGTAACTGTATATAATTACACACAGAAGCAAGTATTTCTCTACTTCTGATATTATAATTTCTGTCCTTTCCTATATAACTTAACAGGCAAATACATAGAATAACCATAAATCCATGTTAAAGGCACTCAAAGTATAACTATGTAACCCGATAATATAAAAGGACAGTAATGAATAGCAGCAGTATTTGTATACTACCAAAAGTAAATTAGTATTACATAAATTAGTTTTCAGTGTATTGAAGACAGAACTATAATTCTCAACACTGAAAAAAAGTTAATAAAAATATATGGAAATATACAGGAAAATATATTGTTGTATCCTTGTAATCCTAGCACTCTAGAAGGCTGAAGCAGGAGGATCATTAAGTTTGAGCCTATCCTGGGCAATTAAGTAATTTAGCAATATCCTGTCTCAGGACGGGGGTGGCAAATGCCTGCAATCCCAGCATGAGGAGCTGAGACTGGAGGTTGCTGTGAGTTCAAGGCCAACCTGAGCTACATAGCAAGACCCAATCTCAAAAAAAAAAAAAAAAAAAAGACTAGGGAAATAGTTCAGTGAGATGTCCCTGGGCTCAACCACCAGTACCATACCCCTCCAAAACCAACATAAACTAATAATAGACACATATAGTACATTTCACTCAACAAGAGCAGAATATTTTTCTTAAGTGTACATAGATCATTTTCTAGGACCAACCATATGTTAGATCACAAAACATCTTAATAAGCTTAAGGAATTTAAGGAATAATGCTATGCAAAATATCTTTTCTGAATGCAGAAGAATAAAATTACAAATCAGGAACAGAAGAACTGGAAAACTCACTAATATTTGTAAATTAATTCATTTTATTATGGTACTGGGGATCAAACAGGTATGATTTTATCACTGAGCTATACCTTTAGCTATTTCAGCCTTTTAAAATTTTGAGACAAGGTCTCACTACATTGTCCAAACTAGCCTCAAACTTGTGATTATCCTGCCTCAGCCTCTCAAGTAGCTGGAATTATAGGCATGCAACACACTACTTGGCTAAACAATGCTTCTTAAACAACCAGTAGGCCAAAGAATAAATCACAGGAGAAATTAGACATTGCCTTGAGGTGAATGAAGATAGAGACACATGTTAAACTATGGGATGTGTAGCAAAGCAGAACACTGAGAAGGAAATTTATAACTGTAAATGTCTGTATTAAAAATGAAGTATCTGAAATCCATAATCTAATTGTATGAACTATATGCCTTAAATAAAAGATCTGGAGAAAAAAGAGCAAGCTGAACTGAAAGCTAGCATAAGAAAGGGAACAATGATTAAAGTGGAACATAGAAACTGGAGAAGTAATAGCTACCAAAATCAGAAACAGGTTCTTTAAAAAGAGAAACCGAATTAACAAACCTTTGCTATGCTAAGAAAAAAATGACTCAAATTACCAAAATAAAAAGTGAGAATAAGGATATTATCACCATTTTATAGAAACAAAAAGGGCTGTAAGAATATTATGAACAATTGTATGCCAACAAATGAGATATCCCAGGTGAGATGGGGAATTTCATAGAATACACAAGGTACCATAACTGATTCAAAAAAAGAAAATCACAATAGATTTTCTAGAAGAGATTGAATCAGTAATCAAATATCTCCTAAAAAGAAAAACTTCAACCAGATAGCATCATTTGTGAAATATACCAAAGATTTAAAAAATTGACACCAATCCTTCTAAAACTTTTGCAAAAAACAGAGGAGGAGGAAATATTTCTTAACTCACTGTACGAGGCCACTATTATTTTGATACCAAAGCTAGTCAAAGATACTACAAGAAAACATAGGCCAATCTCTTAATATTTATGTGAAAATTCTCAACAAAATACTAGCAAATCAAGTCCAGCATATTATCAAACTCAGCAGCAGGATAAGAGAAACACTGAAACACAGTACATAACTTTTGCTTGAAAAAATACATCCTCTGCTATGTTTATCAAGAAGGATGTGTTGGTCTGTTCACACAGGATCACTGTACATATCCTTGGTTTTGCCAAAGGCTATATAAATCCTCCTACTGTGTGTGTGTTGGCCGGGGAGCTCTGAAGGTAACTGCACTATCCTGACTTTCCATAGAACATTATACTGCTTGTAGCCTAGGGAGCTAAATACTTTGGATATCTTGATAGGATGCAGGCACTTCAGAAGATGAAATGTAGTAATTCTGGAGTCTATCACATTGGTAGAATTGGAAATTTATTGATTTGGGTTAGCGTGGTACATGGCTGTCAAAAATGGACTGCTGCCCACTGAGGGATGACACTGAAAGGTGACAGCAAAGGGAAATTCAATGGGTAGAGTTTTAGGCAATGCAAGAGGCTACATATATTCTGTCTAGGTTGAACATGTGAGTATCACTTATTTAAAGTGGAATCATTTATATTCTGGAGGTCTAAAAACAAAATACCTACATTTTTTAAAACAGTGAATTCCACTGAAATGATCTCCTTTATGGTCAATCAAGAAGCTGGTGAAAGGGCCAGAGATATACTCAGCACCTGTGTGGCAAGTGCAAGGTTGTAAGTTCTGTCTCTGGTACCAAAAGAAAATCATAGGTGGCTTGTGATCAAGGCAGTCTGCCTTGTTAAGGTGGTTGATGATCTGTGTTTTTTTTTTCTTAGTCCACATTTACCCAGAAAGAACACAAATACTGTTATTTGATTTTTACTGTTAAAATTAAGACTCTCAAAATAATGATAATGCAAATAATGTATCAGATGACAGTAAGAGCTTATCATCAAATCACAGCTCCTGGGAAAGGAAAGACAGCTTTCCCCTCCACACTTCAGCCATGATCACTCCAGTAGGCAGTGATTATCTCTTCCTAGAACAATGGTGGAAACCTTCTTATACTTACAGGTTCTAAGGGAGCTGTTCTGACAATCATTTTCTTGTAATCCAAATAGGTGTTCCTTGTGGTGTGGCTGTACAATCTAATGTTTACCAACAGTAATGTCTGTGTGTGATCAAATACCTGACACCCGCTTTAACTTAAATGGCAATCCTGTTCTTGTAATGTTTGTCTGATCTACAAGAACTCCTGAAACACACTAGGTGCTTAAAGATCTATAATCTGTTTTCTTGAAAATCTCTTTTAAAAAGTTGCCTGGGACAAGTTCCATGGGGAAATAGAACAGAGCCTCACACATTCTGCAGTGGGGAAATGGTGTAACTAGGGATAAGCAATCATTCTCTTAGCAGAAGTACAAGGCATAGTCCCTGAGGTCAGTTTTGGGAAGGAAAAAACCCAATCATCTGAGTCTGTTTACTAAGGAGATACCCAGTGTTCCTGGATTCTCTCCATTGTTGACCGGGATGGGCAGGGAGGTGTGAAAGACACCTATCCCTTATTCAGGTGGGATTTCATGCTTGTCCAGAGTGTGCTGGTGCTGACCTCCTCCTGTAGCATGGAAGTGGGGTTGTAGGATGCTGAGCAGGGGTGGTGTGGAGAGGTTCTCTATTCAGAGCTTGATGGGTATTCCCAAATCAGATCCCCACATCAGCCACCACAGGCTGTCCTCTGATCACAAGAGGGACAGGCTCTAGATTCCGCCACTCTGCTCTTGGTCTGGTGCATCTTCCTTTTTCTGCTCCAACTTAAAGTTCTGTGAACAAGGTCACAGGTGAGTCCCGAAGGTAGTTCTGATTCACTCAGAGGTGGCAAAGCCCATTGGATCTGGTTATAATCCACATCTCTGAAGTGAATGTGTACTTTTTCTATCCCACCCTAATTGGGCTCCACCTACCTTGAGCTCCTCCAAAACCTCATCCATGAAGTCCTGGGAATTCTGTTTGTAAGACACAGCTAATCGAATTGCATCATTGAAGAGCTGGGGGTTAGATGGAGATTAGAGCAGCAGGCAAGAGGGCCCTGGGCCCCACTAAAACTAGCAACCTCACCCTTCAGTTTACCTTCTTCCCATTAACCTGACCCCATGCATGTGGACTTCTCCCTCATCAAGCCCAGACCCTCCCATGACACACACCCATTTCCTGCCCTTCCCATCCTTTCCCTTCACAGCCTCTCTGAAACTGTACCACCTCACAGACTGCCTCTCAAATTGGCCATTACCTTCACAACATTGGTACCATCAGCAGCTGAGACAAAGTATAGGGGCAGGGAGAATTTCCTGGCAAAATTGAAGCTCTTTTGGGTCACCTGTAGGTCTGCTGTAGAGAGAAGTAGGACACTGGCCTGCCCATCCAGGGAAGAGAGGGGTTTGGATGGAGGGTTAGTGGAGATCCCATGCCACAACTAGCAGAGACAACTAGGGAATATGTCCTCAGAAGAGTGAACAGGGATCTGTGTCTTGAGAAGAGGATGGGTTGGCTCAGCTGAATCTTTACTGGGGAGGGAGCATGTCCAGAAGGACAAATACTGAAGGCTGCCCTTGCCAGAAAGGGAGGAGAAAATGTATGCAGTGGGTCCCCACAATCACTTCACCCAGATGCAGGGATTGGCCCCACCATCAATTTTGTTGGCTACCACGATGCATGGGATCTCTGGCCTGAACTCTCGAAGCTCTGTATACCAGGCACTCAGGTTTTTATAGGTGACTTTTCTCTGTACATCGAAGACCTGCAAAGGGCAAAGGCAGACAGTTTGGGTGTGTCAGTGTCTCTGCATGCCACCCCCAGGTAAATTACATACCTAGCCAGTTGAATCTGATCACACGACACAGGTTAAGAACTTAGCCCAGCAGTCTCAGAAAGAGGGTTTGAGAGGAACTAAAGGATATATCATGAATAAGGTCACATATCATGAAAAAGGTCACTCTTAGAAAAGAGGCAAGCTCAAATGCCAATGCAGGAATAAAATGAAAATGGCTCAAATTCACTTCCTTGTTCCCGAGGGGCCAGACTCTAGCACCACTTGGTCCCCTTGAGCCTTGTTGCATCACACTCTTTTATTTAGTACTGTTAGTTGTAAGTATTGAAACTTTGAAAACTCTCAAGAGCTTCTGGGTTTAAGAGACTAGGTAGAGTCAGGTGAGAAGCCTGTGAAGGGTCAGGAGGGAAGACTCGTGAGTGTCTGTGAACAGCACCTGTGTCTTTCCACCCTGGCTCTGATGCACACCACAGGCAGAACTCATGTGCCAGGAGTGGTCAGAGTGCTATGGGTGCGCTCAGGAAAGGATAATCCTAATGACAAAACATCAGAAGAGGCTGCATGGAACTGGTTGGATCTACATGAGAGGTGCATGGAGCAGGACCTGCTGATGGCCCATCCAGCTGAATGTGTGGAGACACCTGGTACCCAGCCTGAGGTGCTTCTCAGTTAAGGTATCAGACCTTGTGGATTGAAGACTCAGCAGAAAATGGCTGTTCTGTGCCACTAGGCTTTGAGTTTTGTGTGACAGCACGACTTTGAATACTTGTTCTAAAAGTTTAAAAGTTTGAGATTTTTACTTGAGGACAATTGGTAGGGCTTATAATCTGGAAAACCAGTCTATTGTATTGGAGGTACTCTCAATGATAGACTGAGGACAAGCCCTGGCTTCAACTCCAGGTACAAAAAAAGAAATGAAAAGATGCAAACCAATCTATTATTATGTCTTGTTATAGACAGCTACTATTTATGAAAATGTTTATGTGGACCAAAAGAAATAACACTCCTTTTCAGTGTCTTAAGAGTGTAAGTCTGAGAAGTGAGCCAGGCATTCATGGTTGGGAGCTCCGAGGACGTGGCCTTCCTTGAGCATTTCTCACAGTTGCATCCTAGGCACTCCTGTTATGTAGCTTCCCACCTGCTGGCCTCTGGCTGAGGTCCTGATGTGGCTCTAGATAGCATAGTGAGAGACCAGGAAGGAGGTGTGGGATGGTATGATGGAGAAAGGTTCTTAGGAAGCAGTAGGCAACAGTGGGAACCCCTCCGAAAGATGCTCCATTAGAGAGGGGACATAGCTCTATGTCAGCTGAGTTTGCCCCTTGAGCACTATGTGTGAGCTGCACCCCCTAGAAAGGTAGTGCTTCACCTTTCCTTTGCTCCTCCCTTCTTGGCTTGTAGAACTCATATAGAAGCTCTCAGGAGCACGTGGGTGTGAAGCATCCCTGGTGGTCCTCATCCCCTCTCCCAGAGCACCCAGTTTGGTTAGGAGGACCCAGGACTGCTGAACCACTTGTCTCCTTCACCCCTCAAGCCACACTTGCCCAGCACCTTTTTCTACTTCCCAGGTGGTCTCTTACCATGATGCAGGCGTGGGCCTTGTGGTAGTAGGAGGCATGCATGCTCTGGAACCGCTCTTGGCCTGCCGTATCCCAAAAGTCTGCAACATGAACACAACTATAATTGCCTGACTGGGCTGGAGGGCAGAGACTCACATCTCAGGAATTTCTGAACAGGTGTCTGTATATAGAAACAAGATACATATGTGGCACAAACCATAGCACATGTATTAGTTTATGTGGGGAGCATGTCCTCAGGACAGAGTGCCTGGGGGTCCTATGAGAAACTATATTATGCTAGTATGTAGGGGAGGACCCAAGGTTGGGGCCAGTAAGGAGGACAATGCAGACTTATTTAGGAGGAGGGAGGGAGGTCCCCTCATCTGTATACTCGAGATGCAGGGCTTCTGTTACGGTGACCACACATGGTGGACAGTCAGGCAAGATGTGTGGCCTAACCAAGGTGGGGCTGTGATCTCACACAAGGTCAAGTCCAGAGTGGGAGACAGTGAACTAGTGGCATTTGTTATTTCTTTATATGATTGAATGAGAAAAGATACTACCTTGTCCAAGCATTCTGTGAATAAAACCTGGCAGTATAGCCACTTGATATTTACTTTCTTTTTCTTTTTTTCTTGTACCAGGGATCGAATTCATGGCCTCACATTTGCCAGGCAAGTGCTTACGCTACTGAGTTAAATCTCCGGCTCTTCATTTCTTTATTGAGACATGATCTTACAATGTAATCCAAGCTAGACTTGAATATGCTGTGTAGCTAAGGCTGGCCTCAAATTCGCAATCCTCCTATCTGAGTCTCCTAAGTGCAGGCATTAAGGCATGTGCCACTATATTCAGTAAATTTGCCTTTCTGATTCCTGCCCAATGCACCAGTCCTCACTATAGCACTGGGTCTGCCTCCTCTTCCCTGGCCCTGGTTCCTCCATTTCCTCCCTCCTGATTCTCTTCCAAGGACCTCCTCCTCTCTGATTTCTTCCCTTTGAGGCTCAGTGTGGCCTGTGTTCATGCTGCTCACCTACGAGGATGGTCTTGCCGTCCACGGTGGCTGTGTGCTTATATAGACTCAGGGCATATGTGGACAGCTGCTGTGGCTGACTGCACCCAGGTTAAGGAGTAAGACGAATGCAAGGCAAGTTAGGAAGGCCTGGTGAGACAGTGTTTCGTGTGATGGAATGGGTCTACTTCTTCCTTTTCTTTTTGGAGTTACCTAGAATTTAAATTGAATGAATTTTCCAGAATGAGGATCAGCCTCTTGCTGGCATAAGCTTCAGAGAAGCGCAACAGCAGCAGGGATTCAGAGCACTGCTATCAAAGCCTGAGGTAAACATGAAACAGGGTTTCACAGAGAAGCTATCACAGAGGCAGTGTGAAACTGGAAAATGCAGCTGTGGTGCTTCAGCTCCTTTATGAATGCAGCTCTTGTAAGATGAAAAGGAAATCCTAACGCTAGGCAGCAACATGACTGTTCCATGGAAAAAAGCTTCTACGAGTCAAGTAGCTGATAAGCTGTTTATAAAATGATGTCAGCTCAAAGTCCAGGGAGCAATAAAGCCAAGAGGGGTGCACAGGTTGGGTGCACAAGAGTAGTTGGTGTGAGGTAGAGAAGAATATACGCAGATCCCAGGGTAACAGACTTCAGCCATGGAGCGTCAGGGCAAGAAGCGGCAGGCTCTATGGGCTTTCTCACCTGCAGTTTTCAGTAGTCCATCAGGGGAGCTTTTAAAAAGTCTCCCAGTTTGGTGGGCATATTGTTGCACACCAGTGAACCCAGCTATGTGGGAGGCTGAGGCAGTAATATACCAAATTTGAGGTTAACCTGGGTAACTTATGAGATCCTTTCATAATAAAATTAAAAGGGCTACAGATTTAGCTCAGTGGTAAAGCATTTACATGTGTGAATTCCAGGGTTCAACCCCCAGCACCATAAAAACAAACAACAAAAAACCCCAAAGTTCTCAGTTTCAGGGAGGGCTTCATTTCAAACTTGTATAATACAATAAGTTATGGGAGGAGGGAGAGATGCTGGCTCATATTTTACAAAGTCTATTCATACAAGAGACTTTTAAAAGTCACATTAAGAGGCTTGTTCTTTGAGACTGGGTGACTTGCCCAACTCAGTGATACGAAGGAGGATTTGAATTCAGGCATTTGAGACAGACATGGCCTTTTCAGTCATTCATATTACTCTCCTAACATAAGAATATGAGCAAGCTCCAAAGCAGCAGGAACTGTGTGATGTCACGTGGGTCCACTGGTGAGAAGACAGTGTGGAGGGGACCTGTACATTCATTTACCCATTGCTCCTTGCGGGGCTGCTGGTGCAAAGGGTGGGGGATTTTGTGAGCATACAAGTATGGGAGGGGCCACATGAACAAGGGGCATCTCAAACCTTAAAGGATACAATCTGTCCATGAGAAATCTCTCCATAAGCCTGTAAGGGGAATATACAGAGTCAGGCAGCATCCCTATCTCCTCTCTACCCCTATTTCAACAGGCTCTGGCTAACAATATGGAAGTCACAGACTAATTTCTAGGTCAAGTCTGCAACTTGGAAATCACCATTACCAGCCTCTCATAGCAAAACCACTTATGTCACTATGAGCACACAGACCAGTCCATGTAGGCATTTAGATCCATTATTTATATCTCAGCACACTGCTACACATGCAATTATTTCTGTTTTATACACGGGGAATCCTGGGCCAGGATATCTGCACCCTCCACACAAAAATCATCCAGTAGGTCCTTAGGTCTTTGTTCAAAATGTCACCTTAGCTGGGCATGGTGGCTCATGCCTATGATCCCAGCACTTGGGAGACTGAGGCAGGAGGATCGTTGGGAGTTTGAGACCAGCCTGGGCTACAAAGTGAGCTCAAGGCCAGCCTGAACTGCATAGTGAGACTCTGTCTCAAAAAGACAAAAAAACAAAACAAAACAAAACAAAACAACAACAACCCACAATGTCACCTTAGCAGTGAGACTGTCTTTGACAACTCCATGATATGGAAGTAGTTCTACTCATCACACACTGCTTCATTTCTCTCTGCCCTGAACAGAACAGCAGCTGAAACATTAAGCATTTAACTTTACTGTCTCTCTGCTGGAATAAACTGTGAATCAGAGTAGCTGTCAGATTAGTAATTTATTGCTGTATCCCCACAGCATAGGCAGTGCAAAGATGCAATGGTGCTTAGTCATTAATAAACACATCAATGTGAGCAAGGTTAGCAAGCTTACTTTAGCATATATCCTCAAACCCAAGGATACCCCTGAATCCTTTTTTAGCTTTCATAAAACAGTGATCACCAATTAGGCCATATAAAAAATCTGAAAAAGCAAAAATCCCAAAACAATGTTCCTCACACCAAACACATGCCTTACCATGCCTTCCTCAAAAAGTTCATCAGGAGGTCTAAGTAAAAGAACCAAATCATTTTAACACCACCATATCTTTTTTAAATACCCCTGTATCTTAAAACTGATAATCAAGGGGCTGGGGATCTAGCTCAGCAGCATAAGCACCTGCCTTGCAAGCAGGTGGCCATGAGTTCGATCCCCGGTACCGATAAAAAAGAAAAAGAAAAAGACAAAAAAAAAAAAATCTAAAAAAACTGATAATCAGATATATAACATCATTTATCAGTAACTTACTTGTTAGAAAAGAATCCTTGAACTTTAGAACAAAAGAAATTCCCCAATATAGAATGTAGAGTAGATTAATTGAGGTTATTTGGTTCTGTACACAGTATATCTTTATTCTGCTCATTTCCCCTTCCCCTCCTCTTTACCCCTCATGCTTTTCCCCTTGGACCACTTTCCTATTGCAAGAGATTAATCTCCTAGTCCCTTTTATCCATCCTTCATTATTTTCTTTGTTTGTATTTTGCCTCACTCAGATGAGAGCTACAACACAGTATTTAAGCTTGTGTCTGGTATATTTTCCAGAGCTAAGATGAATAATATCAACAAGAGGTCTGGGATCTTTTTTTTTTTTTTTTTTTTTTTTTTTGTCTTTTTCCTTTTTATCGGTACCAGGGATCGAACTCACGACTGCCTGCTTGCAAGGCAGGCGCTTGTGCCGCTGAGCTAAATCCCCAGCTCCAACAAGAGGTCTGGATATGGTGGCACACATTTGTAATCCCAGCACTTGGGTGCTGAGGCAGGAGGATTGCTGTGAGTTTGAGGTTAACCTGGTCTACAAACTGAGTTCAGGGCCAGCCTGAACTGCGCAGTAAAATGCTGTTGCTAAAAGACACACAAACTCAACAAACAAAAACAAAAACACCCAAAGAGAAAGAAAAATATGATAGGGGAATGTGTGTGTGGGGAGATTAACAAAACAAAACAAGCTGTGGTATGTGCATGTAACCACTCCCCAAAATGACTGTAACTCCATGAATTGCAAACATGTACTAATAAAAAATATTAAAAAAGAATGTAGAGTAGAATACCTTAAAAATGCATCACTTATTATATATTATTGATTCACTAACATTGGTCTCATAGCCAATAATACTATAATTCATGCCTGAACATAGCTTATCTAACATACACATTGCTTCCTAAGGCATACCATAGGTTTCTACAAACTATGCATAATATACAACTCTCCACACATAAACTTGACATATTAGACAAAATAGGCCATCTCTCAAAAAGACAAACTACCAAAACTCAATTTGATAAGCAATGGATCATTTGAATTGATGTGTAATTATTAAGGACTTTGATTTTATAATTTAAAGGATTTCCAAAGAAAATTCTCCAGGCCCAGCCAGTTTTAGGAATTTTAACAAGCCTTTAAAGAACAACAGCCATTTCACATAGCCTCCTGCAGAAAAATAAAATAGGAGACACTTCTTGATTCAAGTCAATTAATCTTGACATGAAGACCACATAAAGACTGTATAAACAAATAAAAGAAAAAAATGGTTGGTAAATACAGCTGCACAAATTATTAACAAAATATTACCAAAGAGAATGCAGTAATATATAAAAGATGTTTTAAGACATGACCAACTATAACTTGTTTCAGGGATCCAAGGATGGTTTAATATTTGAAAATCAAAGTGACCACCATATTAATAAACTAAAAAAGAAAATTCACATGATCATATCAATTGATGCAGAAAACATATCTGAAAAAAATTCAATGTTCCTTCATGACAGCTCTTAAAAAAGAAACAGGAAAACTTCAACTTGATAAAAAGCCTCTAAAAAATTCCATAACTAACATCATACTTCACAATGAAAGATGACATGTGTTCCCCTAAGACTGTAAAGAAGGCTAAGTAGTCTGTGCTCACCATTCTTCTATAACTGCTGGGAATGCTCGCCAGTCTATTAAGGTGAGGAAAGGAAATAAAAGGCATACAGATCAGAAAAGAAGAAATACCACTGTCCTTATGTGCAGATGTCACAACAGTCTGTGTATAGGAAATTCCAAGGAATCTACAAAATAAAGATTCCTAGAACAAGTGAGTTCAGTAAGGATAAAAAAATCAATAGATACAACTAAGTTCGTAGAAGATTCAATCTGTCAAGATCTAAAGTTACATATACATAAGCATCTAAAAACAGATACACAAATCTAGAAAACAAACACTGATATAGGGAGAAATAGTTCTATAATATTTAGAGATGTTGGTATTTCATTTTCAATAATGGGTAGAATGACTATAGTGATCAGCCAACACAGGATTTGAACACTAAAAAACCAATTAGACCTAATCAATACAGAACACTACCCAACAGCCAGAGAAAATAGTCTTTTCGGTTTTTTTTTGGTACCAGGAATTGAACTCACAACTGCACACTTGCAAGGCAGGCACTTATGCCGCTGAGCTAAATCCCCAGCCCTAGAAAATAGTCTTTTTAAGTGAATATGGAACATTTCTAAGCAGATCATGTTAGGCCATAAAACAAATCCTATTAAAAGATTTAGGCTGAGCATGGTGATGCATGCCTGTAATCCCAGCATTCAGGAGGCCGAGGTAGGAGGATCACCCTAAGTTTGAGGCCACGCTAGGCTACAGAGGGAGTTCAAGACCAGCCCAAACTACATAGTGAGAAGTTGTCTCACTTCTCCCCAAAAAGATTCAGATCACATAGAAGTATCTTTTTCTTAAAAAAATTTTTTTTTCAATAGGAGCTTGCCATGCTGCTCAGGCTGGTCTCAAACTGGTGGGCTCAAGTAATCCTTTCATTTTGGCCCCCTGCATACTTGGCACAATAGGTGTGTACAACCCCACCCAGCTCAAGGTTAACTTTTTCAATGACCATGGAATGGAACTGGAAATCAATACCAGAATGAAAACTGCAAATTCACAAATAGGTAGAAATTAAACCACACACTTTGGATCAGGAAATGGATCAGGAAAAATTTATAACAAATGGACCAGGAAAAAAATTATAACCAATAGATCATAAAGGAAATTATAAGGGAAACTAGAATATACCTTGAAATGAATAAAAATATAAATACAACATACTAAAACTTAATGGATGAAGTAAAATAAGTGTTGAGGGGCCAGGGATATAGCTCAGTGGCATAAGTGCCTTCCTGGCAAGCACAAGGTCCTGAGTTTGAGTCTCGGTACAAAAAAAGGTGTTAAAAGGGAGCTGTAAGGTACAGCTGTGAATGTATACATTAAAAATATTAAAAATGAAGAACTCTATTAAATCAATGCCCTACCTGCACTGCTTAATGCACCATTCAACGAAGAACAAGTTAAACCCAGAGCTAGCAGCAAAACAAAACAGTAAACACCAAAGTGAAGGCAGGAGCAGTGACACAAGCCTATAATCCTGGCTACCCGACAGGGTAAGACAGGAGAATTGCGAGTTTAAGTCCAGCCTGGCAACTCAGCGACACTGTATCTCAAAACAAACAAACAAAGAAATGCTGGGGGTAGGTAGGGTCTCACCCAGTGCTCACTGGCTCCCTGGGTTCATTCACCAGTACTTCCTACCCCTCAAAAAATGAGGCAAACCAAATAGAAAAAGCAACGGAGAAAAAAATCAATGAAATCCAAAGTTGGTTCTCTGGAAGCAACAAAATTAACAAACATTCAGTTATACTGTCTAGGAAAAAAGAGGAAAGGCTCAAAATATCAAAATTGAAACTGTTTCCTGTGCCTTTGGCATCATTTAAGAAACCATTCCAAATCCAAAGTCATGAAGATTTTCCTCTATATTTTCTAAGATTTTAGTATGTTTAGCTACCACTTTACACCCATTAGGAATGCTTTTACCATAAAAATGAAAAATAAGTGTTGAAGTAGTGAAAAACTAGAACCTTTGTGCATTATTAGTGAGACTGTAAAATGATGCAGCAACTGTGGGGAACAATTTGTTGGTTCCTCGTAAGATTAAACATAGGATTACCATAGGACCCAATGATTTCACTTGTAACTACACAGCCAAAAACCCTGAAATATAGAGACCCTAACAGATACCTGTATGCCAGCACTCAGAGCAGCACTATGTACAATATCCAAAAAGTGGAAACAACATATGTGGTCTATCAACAGATGAGTGGATAATCAAAAATTGGTATAAACAATGGGGTATCATTCAGTCAAAAAAGGATCGAAGTCATGGTGCATTGTACAACATGGATCAATAATGAAAGCATTACACCAAGTGAAGTCAGGTGGCATGACTGCAAATGGGGACAAAGGTAGGGTTCTTAGATACTTCAGAGTCTGACTATGATACTATTCAGCATCTGGGTGGTGGATTCATTAATAGTGTCCAAGCTGGCTGGCTCAAATAGTGTTAGGACCTTGTTCAACAGTTTCCATTGCAAGAAGTGGCACATGCAAGAATGAACCCTCTACCGGAGGCAAGGCTTTGTCTTCGGATGCCAGCTTAGGAAAGATGGAAAGCTATGTCATTAGGGCCCACTCTTAATGCAGCCCTGGAGTACTCACGGAGAAAATGGGGTCAAGAAGGATGAATGTGCTGCGTAAGAAAAAAATGCCATCTTAAAGAAAGCCTGCTGGGTGGTGGTGTCACTACTGTAAATTTTTAAACTAGAGAAGGCCCCAATACCATCCTCTGGAATCAAGGCTGCAGAGCAACAGATTAACTTGCCTTTTCATGGGAGTTTTCTCCCAACTGAGTTTAGACTTGTAAGTCAGAGACACTAAAAACTGGCATAGAATTCAGGAGGCCCAATGAACTGAGCCAAGGTTCTTATGTACTCACCGTCACCTAGGGTAAATCATTTCCATCATGGGATAATTTTTGCTTGAGATATTGCCAGGGGCTGGAACCACCTTGTTTTCTAAATGTCATAGATGCTAGTGCCATGATAATCTTTTGGTGACCTATTAATTACTTAGACTCTTATTTTTTGTTATTATTTCAAGTGAGGTTGAAGCTGAATGTGGGGGTTGGGTAGCACTAATGTAGTAGGCAGGTCCTGCCCTGACAATCTGCTCCCTAATTGCCTGCCAATCCTGTTCTCCCTTTGTTGCTTGTGGACTCCAAGTGGGGACAAAGGGGTTGTTATTTATTGTGTGAGCTTCTCAGACTATAATACCTACCCTCATTTCTATTGTAAAGGATGTTGCTGAGGTGGTCAAAGCATCTGAAAATCCTGAAGTAGCTCTACAATGTGTGAATGTGGGTAGGGAAGAGAAAAAGAATGTGGATTTATGAAGATGGCCTAGAGCACTAGTCATAGCAATACAACTCCAAGGCAGACAATGGGATGGACCATCTAGGCAGAGGAACTCTACACTCATCTTGTCAAGGCAAAAATGGGCGTGCACTCTCACCAGTCCCAGATAGGTGAGGAAGCAGGGTGCCTCATACAGACAAGCTGCCAGCACTCCAGAGCCTCTCTTCACCTCTCCAGCTAGAGTTCCACACTGAAGTCAGAAGAATAAGCCAATTTTTACAATTATTACAGTTAATCATTATTGCTATCTACATATCAATTTAGTGAGGCCCTCAAACAGGTATTATTACCAGCTTTGTTCAATCCGTCCCATTACTCTCTCCATTTCCACAGGGTCATGCCCTGTAATTCGTTATCCCATCACCACACATAGGAGTACCACAGTGCTCACTTTTTCACTCTAGACTATTTGAACAATCTCCAAGATGATTTGCTCCACACCTTCTGTTAAGATTCACAGAAAGTGCTCAGATTTTTTACTCTATGATTCATGTGCTCCACACATACACAGATGCTGATGTGATGATCTCTGCTCATGTCTGGGCTCTAGCCAAGACTCTTCCCTTACCACCCCATGGAAGCCATGCCTCTCTGTGCCTCTGGAGGACTCTTCTAACAATTCAGATCCATTTTGGATCTGATTATTTTTCCCCAACCTGCCAACATACTTGGATTTGCCCACTGCGCTGTCCCCCAGGCAAATGATCTTCACGCTGTCATCAGCATCGTATTTTTCTTGGTCCAGCTCAGAGGGCTTGGTTCTGTCCTCTGCCATCAGTTCCTAGTTGTAAGAGAAGCCCATTCACTGGGTCTTGTTACTGCATAGGAAAGTCAACAAGAGGCTGCTGTTAGAGATAAGAAGTCCCCTCAACCAAATCACTTCTTTTGGGTGCCAGGGATTGAATGCCAGGGATTGAACTCACGACCTTGCATTTGTCAAGCAGGCACTTAATGCCACTGAGCTAAATCCCTGACCCCGAAATCACTTCTTTCTCCTCCTGGACAGAAGTTTAAGAGAGTAAGCCCTAGGGCATCATTCTTCCCTACTCATCACCAATTTGGCTGCCATATGCTGAATTTTGAGGTTGTAACCTTGTCCTTACAAGATTCTCCTATGTGGTCTCTACATCATGCCTTCCACCTAACATGCTGAAACTTTACAAGTTCAACATATAAGCTTTCTTTCTTGTAAAACAATAACGAAAAGTGTCCATGTTGCAAAAACAGCCTGAGCTCATCACTAAATGATACAGACCACAGAACCAAAGATGCTTAACACACATATATTACCAGTTGCTCTCATTTCTCTCACTTCCCCATCATCTTTTATCTTGCTGACACTGCAAGTTGCATCTCCCTCCCTCAACATGAATATTCCAAAACCCCTGTGATATTTTTAACTTCTAGTAGTTTTAAACATCTTTAAACGCTGACAATGTCACACTGTAATTACAGAGATGTACTTCCCTCAGTACGACTCAGATATGCAATTGCCCACTAGGAGACTAAGGGACACAGGCATAAATTATACGTTAAACAGGAATAGAATATTTTAGTCCTGTCAAACCAAATGCTGCTCCTCACATTTCCAGTTGTACAATACATTACGACTACCCAGCGTCAACACCTATGTGTAACAGTATCTTTAGCCTTTTCTCTCCCCTTAATCCAAATAAGATTCTGCAAACATTGCCAAGAATGACGAACTAGCTGGTCTGCTGCAGTGAGGACTAAGACACAACTGTATAGGGGGATGAGGGGCAGAAAATAGCAACGGGGCTCCAAAGTTCCTTGCGCCGCATAGCTACTGCCTCTGTACAGGCAGGCACTGAGTCTTGCTTACTGCAGTACCCTCAGACTCTGGTGCAGTGCCTAGGAGGTGGCAAAGTGAGGGCTTTGATATGTGACCCATTCAAAAGCCAAGTCTGGCCTATCGTTCCAGGATCGAAGACCTTCAAAGGCTGTCGCTGTCCTCACCATCCAGGGAGCAAACTCTCCTTCATTCGACAAACATTTCTAGGCATCCACCATGCCCTAGCAACGCGCTCCACACAGCAGGAATTTCCCTGGCTCCAGCCCTCTTTCCCCCAGGGCCCACCGACAGCCTTGGAAAGGCGGATCCCACAGGCTGACCCACAGGCGGCTTCGTCCTCACTTGCAGTCCCGCTTCAGGGCTAGAAAGACCAGGGATGCCACCACACACAGGGTACACCCCACAGGTCTCCCTGCACGGCCTACTCTGCTTCTGGCCGCCGGCGTCCCCACAGCTGCTACGCAACCGCGGCAGGACCCCGGGAGGGATGTCCTGCTGCCTGCCCGAAGGACCCCGCCAGGGCGCGGGCTGGCTAGCGCAGTGCCTGGCAGGCGGATCGCGGGGACATCCTCCACTTCCGCCCAGCCGTCTGGGTTGGAGTCCTGACAGAGTTAGGGGTTCTTGTGTGGTGGTGGGGTAATCCCTTTTGGGGGGTGTATAGTTGCGGGCTATTTGGGGTCTTAGTGTTAGTTGAAATGGAAATTAAAACTGAAGCACAAATTAATAGGGAAAAGGCCTTAATTGGAAAGTGGGAAGATAGGAAAGGACTCTGGCTTAGGTGACAGAAGGGGCTACAGTCTGATACATGGGTGCAGACCGGCCCACGCGCAAAAGTGGGAGACCGGCTTTCTGACAGGCAGTAAAGTGGCTGAGGTCCAGTTCATCTTTATCTTAGTCCTGTTGTCATAGTTCTGGAATCTATAGCTGAGAGATAGTTTTGTGTCCAGGAAAGGATTGTGGTTTCGTTGCAGGCCGCTGAGTTAGAAATAGTATAGGCAGTGAGACAGGGCTAGGTCCTCCAAGGAGCCAGTGCAGAAGCCCAGATACCTTGCAACTATGAGGGAGACAGACACTTCCTGCTGTGGGCCAAGCCTCAAGACAAAAGATCAAACAAATGCATCCATACCCTAAGGACTGATACTCTAAATAGCACCCTATGACCCTGAGGAAGTCTGGAGTCAGCATTCCAACCCCCTAGGGAAGAGTCACTGCTCTCTAAGAATGCCTGCTTTCTATGTGACTCGTTTCCCCATTTGTCCCTAATGTAATGTATTTTACCTGAACTATTAATCTTATTGGCTAACCATAGTTCTGTCCCACCTTATGCCCATCTACCTTCTGAGTTCCAAGTTTTCTCCACCTTAAATCCATTTCACCCCATGATTTTACAGTTCCTGGAAAAGACAGAGTCCTTGGCAACCCACTTAGGACTCCTTTTGTCTGAGAGAGACAGAAGCTTGCTTTCTTTCAATAAATATATTCTACTCTTAACCTCTGCTGTTCCTAACATTCATTCTTCAATTTTAGAGAACATGAACTCGTACCAGACATAGTGGGTCGGGAATTTTGTTCCCCTGTATCAGTTTTGGTCACACATCACCTTCCCTGGCATCATTTGCCTTCCCTGGAATCCAAGTGATTACAGTTTTGGCACAATGGCTGGAGACTTTTGGGCGTAAATGAATGTCTCGGTAAATCCCACAGTGGCCTCAGTCTTGAAGGGGATGAGAACATGTAAATTCAGTGCTAATCAACCCTGTCTGGTCAGCTCCTAAATGATCAACATATCCTTTTACAGAGCTGAGAGAAGATTTGACCAAAGATTTACACTAATGAAGGATTCAGAATTAAAGTCAAACCTTGTTCTTCTTTTAGTTAGCTATTGGGCATTTGTAGGCCCAAGTGAAGAGTCATGATTCATAACAAATTTGGCTTTTTGAAAGGTTCTTGCCCTAGTATAAATTACTGTACAATTATGGCGGTGGTCTAACATGACGGAAGACTAAAATGGAACCCTTACCACTTCCTCTTTCTTTAGCCCTAATTGCAGCTCCCCTTCCTGTTTGCATGCACAGAGAAGTCCAACCAGTTCCTCACACGTGATCAATATCTGCCCCATGTGCCATTTCTGATCAGAGGTCATAGAACCCTCTGCCTCTGTATCTGATCAAAGGAGACAGCCCAACCACCAAGGGTTGTGTGCTCCTTTCCATGTCCTCAATAAACCTGTTCTTTTTGTTTTATACATTTTGCTTCTCTATTGGGCCAGAAAATTCTTAACACTTTTAAGGTCCAGAAGAATACACAAATTATCATTTAATATGAAGCAGATGATGGCCCTAGATGTTGCCTGTTTTCTGACTATATCACGACTGTGTCAGTATGATTAGGAAGTCACTACAGGTTGTAACTCTTTGGTGAACATTTGTTACTAACCAAGAGCCTAAATGGCTGTCATGTGCAAGATTTAGGATAAGAGTATGTTTCCTTCCATTCATGCTGATGGGAAGTAGGACTCCCAGCTTCTATGATATACCAGGCTTCCATTCTGACCACAGGGTCTTTCAGGACACTGAATTACAGTTCTCCCATGAAGTCTCCTTAGGGAAACTCTCAAGAAACTTCAGGGTGTTTCTTTGCATGTGGGCTACATCACCATACATATGCAAACTGTCTTTAACGTAGCAAACTGAGAAACTCAATGTGTGCATCCTGGGCCTTTACAGAGGAACACATACCAAAGTTTGTGCTACCATTTCAGCTCTTAACTAACAGCTAAGGAATCTCAGCTGTGAAGCTTTTTAGTATGATATGATACATTTGTATATTTCCTTCTATTCACTCCTATTGGGAATTATCAAGCAGCACTTATTGTAGAATCCCACACCTCTGGACCTAGAGCAGGATCATTCTGAACTTTGAGTTACACTTCTCCACTGGAGCTCTTAATACTGAAACACACCACTACATGTAGAGTGTTTCTTTTCCTAAAGGTGGCTTTAGCCCTTTATATACAACATGCATTTCTCAGAAAAAACTGAGAAATGAAATCTTTGAATCTCCATTACATACAGAAACACATACCCTAACTGTGCATGTATGTTTTGCTACTCTTATGCCCAAATTGTCAGAGTTGTGGAAACATTCAGTATGTGCAGTTATGTGTTTCCTTCCATTCATCCACATGGGCAAGTAGGAAGCCCAGCTTCTATGAGATACCAGGCTTTCAAACGACCACAGGATCCTTCAGCACACTGAGTTATCCTTCTCCCATGAAGTCTTCCTAGGGAAACTCACAAGAAACTTCAGGGTGTTTCTTTATGGAGTGTAGTGCTCTATATATCAAATTTCTTTTATCCATTTATCTGCTGATGGGTATTTGGGCCATTTCAAAATTTTAGGTATTATGAATGGTGATGCTACAAATATGGGAAAATGATGTTTTTATGTCCCTTGAAAGATAACAAGATGGGTTATACCTGAGTCAAATGGAGATCATGTTTATAATTTTGGAGGAATTTCCAGAGTGACGATACAAATTTTCATTTCCATCAACACTGTAGGAGGAAGGATTTGCTTTTCTCTACAGCCTTGTAAATTTGTTAATTTTGAACCCTTGATGATAGCCATGCCTAGTGGAATGAGATGGAATCTTGTGTGATTTTGATTTTCATTTCTCTAGTGGCCAAAGATGTTAACATGGTTTTTTTTTTATGTATTCTGTTGGTTATTGTGGTTCTTTTTTGAGAAGTGTGTTTTCATTACAATTTTTTTTTGTCTTTTTCCTTTTTATCGGTACCAGGGATTGAACTCACAACTGCTTGCTCGCAAGGCAGGCGCTTATGCCGCTGAGCTAAATCCCCAGCCCCTTCATTACAATTTTTTTTTGTCTTTTTCTTTTTTATCGGTACCGGGGATCGAACTCATGACTGCCTGCTTGCAAGGCAGGTGCTTATGCCACTGAGCTAAATCCCCAGCGCCTTCATTACAATTTTTAAAATTGCATTATTTCAGTTTTGAGAGTCTATTTTTGTTGTTGTTGTTTTTTATTCTAGATAATAGTTCTCTGTCCGAGGACAAGTTAACAAAAAATATCCTACTGTGGAGGTTGTCTATTTAGTCTTTTGATTGTTCTTTTTTCTGTGCAAAAGTTCCTTCAGTCAATATAATTCCATTTGTTGATTCTTAGTATTATATCATGTGCAATTGGGGTTGTGTTCAGAAAGTCCTTGCCTATGCCTGTGTCTTCACAAGGTTTACATATTTTAACTTCTAGCAGATACAGTGTTTTTGACTAAAAGCTAGTTCTCTGATCCATTTTCACTTGATTTTATTACAAGGGGTATGAGATGTGGGCCTGGATTTAACCTTCTGCATGGGGATCACCAATTTTCCCAGCACTGTTTGTTGAGGAGGCTGTCTTTTCTCCAGTGTATTGCTTTTTCCTGTTTTTCCCAAAATAAAGTAGATAAAAAGTACCTGAGATTGTTTCTTGATTCTGCATTCTATTGTATTGATCAACTTGTCTGTTTTGTTTCTTTATCCTGATGTTTCTATCACTGTACCTTTGCCATATAACTTTATTTTTTATTTTTTGGTACCAGGGATTGAACTCATGACCTCACATTTGCCAAGCAGACACATCCTGGTGAGCTAAATTTCTGGCCCTGCCATATAACTTTAAATCTGGGGCTGTTATTCTTCAGTCTTTGCTCATGTTGCTCAAGGGTGATTTTTGTGTCTCTAGTCTCTGCTGATTCTTTTTTTTTCTTTTTCTTTTTTTTATCGGTACCAGGGATTGAACTCATGACTGCCTGCTTGCAAGGCAGGCGCTTATGCCGCTGAGCTAAATCCCCAGCCCCTCTGCTGATTCTTTTTAAGTTAAAAGAATGTGCTTTATAGTTCTGAGAAGAATGCTACTTAAAATTGCATTAAACATCTATATCATTTATGGAGTGTCACCATTTTGAGAGTACTATTTCTACCTCTACAGAAATAGGGCATGTCTTTCCAGTTAATAGGGATGTCTTTCTTCTTCAGTATCTTTTCCCCTCCAAACCATCATACTTTTTCTTATAGAGGATTTTTACTTCCTTTTGTCAGTTCCTAAGAGTTTGTATGTGTGTGCTATCACGAATGAGACTGATTCTTGATTTCTGTCTAAGTGAGTTCATGATTGGTGTATAGGAACACTATTAAATTGTATCCCGCACATCATTATATTTTCTTTCATCTGGTAGCTGTTTGGATATTTACTCCTTTTTGGTTGAATTCTTAGCTGTTGACATTACAGATTATTTGTGTACTTTGAATACAAAATTTGTTCACTGCTTTGTGTTTTGTAGAGAAGCTATCTAGTATGTGGCTGGTCTTTTTGATGTCTAAAGAGCATCGTTGGGAACCACTGAGCTAGCAATCCTCAACTGTCAAGTACCCAAGAGCACAGAGTACCTGAGAAACTCCTTGATAGGATTATTT